ACCAATCAGGTATAATGTCTCAGGCAAGTTTACATAACAAGGATAGTATATCCGGGAGGTAAGCAGATCTCGAGGGCCGGTAATTATCATCAAGATAAAGCATCAAAACGACCCCCGACAATGTGTTAAATGGAAGGTTTGAGTGTACACAGGCAGGCACTCATGGACACATATACATACTACACGGGCACATACACATGCCTGCACACACCCTTAAACCTAGCCACATATATGTCTCTAACGCTACTTTTGAGAAGTGATGCTTCTCTAGAGCCAGATTTCCTGGAGTCAAATACTGATTCTACAGCGCATACCTGGGGAAGTCTGTATTCTCTTCAAAATGTGCCCTCTTGGCATTGTTGACTCTCCATAGCTATTTCTAATTATCATAATAATATCTTGGTGTTAGAATGGAATTGTAGAACCTCTTTTCTGAAAAGTCAGTACACACTGGCAAGTTCAAGTGCTGGTTAGGACGTGAAACCAAAGGAACTGCTTTTATTTAAATAGTATTGATTCATCGATTGATTCACCCTGTATGTGTGTCCGTGTGCATGGGCATGTGGAGATCAAAGAACCAACTCTCTCTCCTTCTACTGTTTGGGTCCCAGGGATTAAATTTACGTCACCAGGCTTAACTACAAGCATCTTTTCTCACTGAGCTGTCTCACTGGCCTAGGAACTGTCATATTGGTGGTGGAAGTAAATGGGAATAATCATTTGGTGGGAGACTTTGGCAGTATTTTATCAAACCACATGCATTTTTTTTCTAACTGTAATCACTGGATTATAAGTTGAACTCTCAGGTATTTACCTAGAGCAGCTGCAAAGGTATCCATTAAAAAAAAAAAAAATCAACCTGCAAATGTTTGTAGCCTCTTTGTTCATAGTTGCCAAAGTTTGGAAGAAAATGTGGTATCTTTTAGTGGGAGAAGAAATAAGTAAACTGTGCTACATGGATGTATGGGCACGAATAAGTCATGAACCGTTGAGCCATAAATATGAGACAGAAGAAAGTTAAATGGACATCTCAAGGGGAAAAGCCAACCCAAAGAACCTTTCTGCTGCTTGCACACACTGTTCCAGAAAAGGCTTGGTGGATGGGACCGCTGTGTGGGGAGGCGCGGCCTGCCACCTCAGATACACTCTGTCAGTTGCCACATCCACTGTGATAAATGTACTTCCAAGGAGTGAGTCTCCATATTGGCACAGGCAGGGCACACATACGGAGAGGCGCTTAAGGGATAACTCCGCGTCTTCTGTCAAGGCTTGCTAGGACCCTAACTCTGCTCTAAGAAATGAAGCTTACTCAAATAACTTGTAAGGAAAATTGGCTTGTGTGTAGCAGCCGGACTTCTGTCTCTTCGAGCTCTGCATTGGTGTAAGCGCACGAGTCTGTGGCTTTTAAGTTTTTAAGTTTTGCCCTTAGTGGGAAATTTTCATGTTCCTACATGCTGCTGGCCCAGCAGTCACAGCATAAAGCTAATCTCTGTCAATGGCGCATGTGCTACACGGATGTACGGCTTATGTCCTCACGGCACACTCCAGCTTGCGTTTGGCTCAGGGGCTGGAACAGTTCCAGCGCGTTGCTGGATGGTGATTGTACCGCCGAGAAGAACGGCCACTGTGGTGATGATCCCTCACGGGACCAGCGTCCGGAGAGGTGTCGCCCGCACATCCTTAGTACATCCTACTTTAAAGCTAGACCTCGCTCTAGCTAGACCTCGCTCTAGCTCTGCTCTGGAGAGGCACTCAAGCCACAGGCTTGGTTCTTAGCCCGGGGCTGTTGAGTGCTGCAGAGGCTGTGAAGGGTGGGGCACAGGGAAGGAGTCAGGTCAGGAGGGCCTCCTCTGTGGCAGCTTTCTCTGTCCTGTTGTAACTGACAGAGGCAACATAGACAGGAAGGACCCTGGAGGGAGCTGTCACCTCTCTGTGACCACACCCTTGGCAACTCAGGCACGGATCGGATATGATAGGACCTGAAGGACATACAGAATGAGCCCTATTCTAGGACGACAGGAACAATGGAGACAAATTCACAGACCATGTCAGAGAAATTAGCAACAGACCCACGGACGGGAGGAGGAACCCCGGGGTGGGTTGGGGTTGGCAATAGAGAAAGATGAATAAGGATGTCCTTCAACATTATTATACGTGCACTTGTGTGTGTCAGAGGTTGACGTTTGGTGTCGTCTTCACTTGCTTTTCTGCTCTTTATTGAAGCAGGCTTGCTCACGAACCTGGGGCTTGGTGTTTGGCCCATTCTGTTTGGTTTGCTGGCCATGGTCAGATGACCCCACTGGAGTTACAAGCATGTCCTGCTGTGCTGAGCTTTCAAGATGCGATCCAAGCTTGGGGAGCCGGCACCCTCCTTACAGAGGTGTCTCCCCTGACCAGTTTTCTTTTTAGCAGAAAGAAGCTGGTTCCCAAGTGTGTGCATACCAGCGAGGTGACCCATCAGACTCCTGACATGTGCCCTCACAGCCTTCCCCAGGGTCCTTGCCACTGTGCCTGGCATGTGTGGCTTTTGGTAGCTATGGCTCAGGGAGCAGGGTGTCTATGCTAAGATAAGTAGCTTTTCATGCAGCACATGGATTTTGTATCAAGGAGTCTTAATTGCAAGGCTATAAATATGTCGAAGGGCTCTGACGGCACCTTATTAAATTACGAGACTGAGTTCAAGTGGCTTCTGACACTGGCACTGTCCCTACGGGAGCCACTCTCACAGGCACGGCCAACCAGGCCTCCCTCTCTGTCCCTGTCTCCCTTCCCTTTCGAATTCTGTAAATTAGGAAAAATAGCGCATACGAACGAACTATGAATCAAGTCATGAAAACACATTCAAAATAATCCACAGTACTTGCCTGTTTATTTTTTTTTTAATCCTTTCATTTCTTTGATGGATGGTACAATTTAATCTCTAGGATACCCTTCTTTGGAGTGCTAAACAGAAAAAAGGTAATTAAAAAAAAAATGAGATACTAACTTGTTGCTTATATTTTAAATTGTATTTCCCAGGAAATAGGACATCAACTTCAAATATCCTTTGTGTGTGTGTGTGTGTGTGTGTGTGTGTGTGTGTGTGTGTATGAGTGAGTATGTGTTTATGAGTGTGTATGTGTCTCTCTGTGTGTATGAAAGTGTGTATGAATGTGTATATATGAGTGTGTGTATATGAGTGAATGTGTGTGCATGAGTGAATGTGTGAGTGTGTATGTGTCTCTCTCTGTATGTGTCTCTCTGAGTGTATGAATGTGTGTGTGTCTGTGTGTGTATGTGTGTGTATGAGTGAGTGAGTGTATGTGTCTGTGTGTGAGTGTGTGTTTGTACTCATGCACATACAAATGTGGTTGCTTAGACAGAAGGTAGCTTCAGTCACTCCCACCTTGTTTTTGTGAGACAGGGTCTCTCGCTGCATGCCAGGCCAGCTCACAAGTATGCGAATCCTCAGTGACGGCTGCTGGGGACTGTGCCCTCAGCAGGACCTGGGAGATGTGCGGTCTCCACAGTTCCCTGACCTCTTTTTACTGTGCTCGTACTGGGGTCCATGAGAGCAGAGTGTTGTGATGTTCCAGAGGGCATTTTAGTATTTTTTTAACCTCTCATTTGAATATTCTACTCTTATCTTTTTTGTGGTACTGTACTGGGGTGAAATCCAGGGAGGGACTTTGTGCGTGCTAGCCAAGCACCCTACGGCTTAGCTGCACCCCTGCCCTACCATGCCCTGGTCGATCTGAGAAGCATCATCTCTCTCCTCATCCCTCTCTAATGTACATATCAACCAAGAGTTTAAAAATAGGTGTGGAATCAACTTCAGTTGCTCATACCTTAGGGAATTTCAAACAAGGAACTGATAAATGAGGAAGAAAGAATGAACTCAGAGCGAGCAGGGAGAGCAAGAATGCTTCCATTTCTAGCTGTGCATAGGCATTTTTATTTTATCTGTGTGTGGTGAGTCTTCTAGCTCTGTCAGGGATTCACAATGAGGCAGACACATGCAAAAGAGCCAGGGGTGCTCTGTGGGATAAGCCAGGGAGATGTGCTCTAACAGCCAGCGAGAAGAGGCTGAGGTCTCTGGTGCCTCTTGGGTCCCTGTAAGAATCAGCTGAAGGATGCTTTCCTAATGTCATTTTGTGTAAACTTCTAGGTAGTAACCTCAGCTCTGTCCTGAGTGGATCTTGCCACATGTTTTATTCTCTTAGAAACAACCTTTTGCAGATCCTTCTTTTTCTTTTCAGGAAGCCACTGAGGTGTGTTTATTTAGAAATGTAGGGGCTGGGATGGAAGCAGATGGCTCTTCTGATATTTGTTCGCATTCACTGGTCAGGCTTTTAAAACAGTTTATGTGTGATTATCTGCCGGATGCATATACATGAGAGCCTGATGCCCGTGGAGGCCGGGAGAGGGCACTGGAACCTGTGACGCTTGAGTTAGGATGGCTGTGAGCAGCTGTGTGGTGGACCATCCTGGCGTCCTCTGAAGGGCTCTGGCCATTGAGCCTTCTCCCTAGCCCTGCTCCTCAGACTTGACAAACACCTTTGCTTAAAATCCAAATAACAAGAGCACAGAGTGGTGGGGTATCTGCCCCCCCTCTTCTCCATGCTCCAGGATGCATCCTCTTCACTGTGGCACCCAGCTCTGCCAGTGTTCTCCTGCATTCTTTGTGTAATTCTATATTCCACAGGCTTTAAACCCGGCCAGTGGTTTAGAGGATCAGGTTTAACTCACAACTTAGAACAAATGAAAACCAATGCGGCCTCTCTGGTTGCCTCATAGATTTACACAATGAAACTAACCCCAACTTTAGCCTGCAGTTTGTGTGAATTAAAATATTAAATTTAATATTAAGATTAGATCATGAATAATGACAGAAGACAATAATAAACTTGAATATAGAATATTAGAAAAATAGTGTTTGTGTAACCAGTCTGAAAATTTAGGAGAAAATTTTAAAAAACTTAAAATAAAAACAAATTTCGAAAGGGCACATGGCATGAAGTCATAAGATAAAAGTTTAATACATTTGATCATGTTAAGACACAAAACATAGCCAATCTAACCAAATTTCAGGCATGCATTTACATAAATATATTAAATTAAGAAAAGAAATTATACACTTAAAACATCCTTTCACCTAAGAAATCATTAAATCCACAGATCAACAATAGAAGCCAGTTCTCTGCATTTACCACTTCAAGATACAATTTTTTCTATTTTGAAGATAACACAAATCCACTTGTTAGAATTTATAGCATTATACATATATTATATATTACATAGATAGTGTGTATACACATGCAGTGTTTGTACAGATAGATAAATATGTACACATATACATGGGTGTGCGCATGGGCAGATGCACACAGACGTACTTGAGGCCACCTGTGCTTGTGACTGCTGCAGACTAGAGCTGAGCTGTTCATCCCAGTGAGCGCACAGCACTGTCCTTGCAGATGCCCTCGCTTGTGCAATTACAGGGGGCCTCTCAGCCTTTAGATTGCATTAGTGAATAGATGGGCGGCTGAATGACAGATCAGTCAAAGAAACTTCATGTTTTAACAAACTGACCTAGCGAACCAGGTTAGTTCAAACTCGGGGGGACACGTAGCTGTGCACAGTGACTCTTTGGAACATTTACAAATCATGGGCAGCTCTTACACTAATTCTGATTCTTTAAACTTACACCTAGGTTTACTAAATGTTCCTACCGCCTTCTGCCTCTTATCAATGTAATGACAGAAACTCGAGGATGGATTGGTTCTGAAATTTCCTGTAAGATCCTGTAAGATCAGATTGCCTTGATTTCCAACAGCCTGAAGGAAATGGACAACTCAGAACACCAAAATATGTGAGGAGAACGGAGCACAAAACCACCCCTCAACACCGGACAAATCAGTCACAGAGAATTCCAAGGAAGACGCAGATCTGCCTATTAGAATCGCTTCATGCTTATGGTCATGATTCAATAATTTTTCCTTGCAACTAGCTAGATTTATTTCAGATAGTAGTGTGTTGTACCATGTCCTAGGGAACCCAGTTTCCACAACTTCACACTACTTCAGTGTTGTCCATCGTGGCACTTCACGGCTCTTAGAGACACTCACACCCGTACACACTCTGACTAGAATAAGGTTTGGGGGATATCTGATATCTCAGAAGGCTGTCAGTTTAGCTTCTCAAAAACAATATTATGAAATGAACCTTCTGAACATGGATTCTTAGTTTATTCCAGGAAAGTCATGCCTCAGATTTTAAGATTATGGAGTAAAGAAACATCCGATGTTTATTCTGGCACGGACCATGCCAAGCCTAATCATACCTTATTCATGTGAATGGAAACTATTGACTAGTTATTTTTCAGCATGGAAAGAAATATTCCAGACTGAATTTCTAACTGTGAAGAAAAGGCTTATAGAGTTGACCACTATGAATTTCCCATCACTGCCTGTTTCACTTTTTCTCTATAATATCTATTAGATAACAGAATGTTATTCTTTTTACTTAAAAGACAGCAGCTGAGATAATTTACTATACACGGGATGCGTCTGAGGTCATCATCACCAAGATACTAGTGTTTGTTTTTCCCACATTGATGTGGAATCGCTTTCCTTGAGTTAGACTTTGTAGAGATGTGCATCGCTTTGGTGGGGACGAGCTAGGGTCTCTCCTGTCAGTCAAGCTCTCCCTGAGGGAGGCTGCCCTTAACTTCCTGTGACTTTGCTAGAAGGCTGTCATAGAGTGCCTGCACTGGAGGATGTGTGTGCTTTTCGTCATTTCTTTCAGTGACTCTAGTAAGCTGGCTTGGTAAGCTATTTCTCTACTCATCTTAATGATACTGAATTTGAGTCAATGTGACTCCAGGAAAGAAAACAAAGGGGACCCCCCCAAATGTGCAGGTATCTGCTCCAGGACAGCTTCATAGTGGGCACACACAATATGTCTGCTTAGTAAAAAAACAACACAAAATGGCAGTGGAGGAGGGAGAGATTTAAAGAGAGGCAGGTAGAGAGACATGAGTAGAAGGGCAGAGAAAGGAGAGGCAGCGTAGAACCCTACTTAATGTTCTAGACAGATGCTCAGAAAGCAAGCTGATGCACCACCTACAGTTTTACTGATATACTTCCTCTCCTTACAAACTGAAATTGGCATTCTTTCGTGTGCCGAGACACAGAAGAGAAGCTCATGCCATCTTGGATCAGTGTGTTCTTGGAAAGACCTCAGGTTAGGTGTCTAACTCACTTCTCACCCTGATTAGATTTGTTGTATTCTTTGTGGTTCAGATATTAAAACAAGCCAAAGACAAATGTGCTAAAAAATAGTATCTTATTCTGTAATATTTCCTCAAACAAAAAGCGGGGAAGGCATGACTACTAGAGGCATAAAATGATAAGGAGATAGTTTACTAGCTGAGTTTGGTAGACATGTATTGGTTTCTTTGCCCATCCTTCATGAATTGACCAGTTAAAAGGCAGAAACTTCTGAGTAAAGCTCGTAAAATATTTTCCAACATCGTAAATAAGATCCTAAGAGGTATGGATGGAAGAGCTTGAACTTTCTTAAATGTTCCTCCTTTTCACTGTAATGATATGCCAATTTAGTTTTATATCATTACTTTATGTGCTTTGAAACAGGGCAAAAGTTTGGTAACAATACTGGGAGGAAGGTTATTTCATATCCAGTTGGTGCCCAGAGCTTCAGGTCTAGAGTGGGCAAGGGGCAGTAACGACTGTTAATTTCTTCTTCGTCAGACACATAATGGCATCATTCTTCCAGTTTAGATTGTGTGCTTTGCTAGATGGTACATTTTCACTTTTAAATGGTTAGGGATTTATTGGCTCAGCTCATTTTTTTTTAACCTATTCCCATCTGTCTCTCACAAATAATTTATAATAATCCCCCAGTCATATTTAAAAACAGACTTCAAGGAACAGGTCAAAGGAAAAATTGGAATTGGTCACATAGTCTAAAACACAGTCATTATCAGTCATTGTTATTCATCTTTCTCCTAAGGACAGAATGAAAGGATTCTCCTAACGTTCTCTGCTTGGGTTAAATATCCATGGATGAAATTCCTTAAAGAGAATTTTGTCTTTCATTTTAATAGCTCATTACTGAAAAAGCAATAACATCTTGGGTACATAGTGCTTGTCTAAGCCACTTGAAACCTTTTCACTTGGGAAAGAGCTGTTTGAAACAGCTCTGGGCATGGCCAGCTTAGCCTGGGTTATTGGAAGGAGAGCTCCCACCAATAGAACACCTTCTCTTTTAAAGATAGAAAAGGAGGCACTTGGGTTTTAAGATTTTGCTGACTTTCTAGAGGCATCCTTATTGTTTTTGCTCAAACTATGAATGGGAGAATGCGTAATAAAACTGTACAATTTGACAGATTTAGACAGCTGGCTCCTTCACAAGCAGTTCATAGTCTGTTAGTGTCACCCACGTTGAATAAGGGAAGGCTTGATAGTAAGATCCACCTACAAAAATGGTTTTCAGGGGAAGTTTTTCCTTTTTTAAAAAAATTGTAAAACTTTCTGTGATGGAATTCAGTAAAAGGACTATGAAGAGAAAGCAACGGAGACAAAAGATTGCTATTAACCTACAGATGCAGGCTACTGCACGGTTCATTGCAAGATTTGTCACAGTGCTGGGCCAATGAAGTGTTGGTGAGACTAGAAGGGACCACCCTTTTTCTGGGGTAAGAGGGCAATTTGGTCTCCATGCTCATTTACTCCCAAGACTTCTTTGAATAGACTGTCAATTGAATCTAAATTGTGCAAAATTATGCATGCACTTTTTAATGCAGGCTATTGTTCACTAAGCACTGAGATTTCCCAACCATTTCCCTTTGGTATGAGGGCACCGGACTCCAAGTGGCCATATGTGGAAGGCAGGCAGAGTGGACCCAACAAATGGTTCTACATTGTGGCGTCCTCGGACGTGCTTAATTTGCAGCTCTCTCACTTTAAAACAACGGAGGAATACTAGCTAGAAGATTACTGTCCCTGTGCCACAATTAAGGCTCGTACTCTAAAGACGAAGAGCATGTGTGCATTGCCGGTGCTGCACGCTTACCTGACTCTACAGTCTGGATCCCAGAGGAAGAGACGCTATGGTAGATGGTGGGTGCCTATCACGGTTAGACATCAGTAGCACAAAAACTTTTATACTTTGTTAAAATCTAAACATGGAGAGGTGGCAAATGGAAAACCTTTTCACTTGGGAAAGGGCTGTTTGAAACAGCTCTGGGCATGGCCAGCTTAGCCTGGGCTATTGGAAGGAGAGCTCCCACCACTAAGAAAAATGTCGGTCAGACTCTTGTCACTTAAATTTAGAGTGCATCATTTCTTTAAGAAAATCTGAACATTTGCAGAAAATTTATTGAGGCAAGAACCACAGGGTACTGCCACAGAGACCTGAAGGAACATATGCATTAGAAGCCAGATTTGCCGAGAAGGCCAATCTTAAGAATCCGTGTGTGTGAGCAGTGTATACACAGCCTGAACTGGCTCTGAACGGGCAAGGTCTTCTCCAGGGAGGGTGCATTCGGAGCATACACTGTAACCTTCTAATCCCACAGACTCTGACAGGCTTGCTACGGGGAAAAGACTTTACAAGTATGCAAGGCTGGAATTTTATAAGGACTGGCCGTTTTCTTGCTTTTTCATCTGACAGGAGTGGTTAGATGTTGGCACAGTACACACTGCTAGAGTAGATCCACAGCACATTAGAGGCTGTGCTGTTTGTACTCCCCTTCTTTCCAATTAAGTTGGAGAAAATGTAACTTTAGTAATTTACAGGACAGGATAGAGGTGTTTCATCTAGGTGATGTCCATATTATAAAAATAAAATAAAAACTATAAACATGTAACAAAACCCAGTGCCTATTGTTACACAAAATATACAATAGAAGCAGTCCATTCAGAAAGATTGCTTTTTCAAATAGTTCTTCCGATTTAATCATAAACATTTGAAAACCATCTTGAGATTAAGCTGAAGTAGCCAGATTGCGCTGTCAACTAAAAAGGTTAAGTGTGTAACATTCTGTCAGCAGATACATCAACAGAAATGAAGATTACAATCTTACATCAAGCTGCTTGTTCAGAAATTCACCAAGGAGTTTGGAAACATGCTCTCTTATTATAGACTTTTAATATAAAAATATTTCCACCACATTGCACAATAACATTTCAAACCCCTACAAAGGTCAGCTTTAGGAATTACAAACAGACATTTCCTGGGAAGTAAAAGAATATCTTCTGATGCTATAAAAATTCCGTGATCAATGTGCAGTGGAACTTCTGTTTAAAGTACTCCACACCAGGAAGTAGATTTTTTTAAAAATCTGTTATACAACCTTGAGTTTAGGGGTTGTGAGTGCGGGTGTGGACATGTGTATGTAAAACAAAACAAAACAACAACGTGCCAAAGTACACACTGAGATCTACACATCTCTGTAAATTGCTTTTAAATTACTAAAAGAAAATGAAATCACAGGAGTGTGTAGCAGGAGGACAGTCTCTCTTTTTAATGACAAGATCAAAATAAATGCCCACCAAAAAGAAATATTCAAACGGTCCCAGAAACTATACAATGTAACTTGTGAGATCCAGCAAATAAGATGTCATGTCAATGATCTGATCAAGAATACCTGCCCTGGCCACTCTGCGCATGTTTCTGTCCACTTGTTCACACTGAGGACCAAGATAGCCTTTTTTACAGAGGCACTTGTTAGGTCTGACGCAGACACCTCCATGACGACATGCCGGCTCACATTTGGCTGCAAGAAAGAAAACAACATGGTATCCTTAATCTTTATGTCAGAAGCCATGTACGAGATCAAGGATTTGATGAATAAGGAAAGGTAGGAAAAGAAGACAGTAATAAAATGACCAGACAGAGGAATATGCAAGTGGGAAAGACAGTTTCCAGACACAGCGGCTTTAGGGTGGGGACTGAGCTAAGCGTCTGGCTGTCAGCACCTTGAGAAGTAGAGCTCAGGAGAAACCATCTCAGTGGCTTGCACAGCTGACTCTAAAACAACGATGTCAGCCCTTTCAGCTCCTGCTCCATGAGGCATTTCAAGCAACAGCCAATTCCATTTCTTCAGGGTAGGACCTCAAGGAGAGAGGCTAGCCTTGAGAAAGGGGTGGCCAGCTAGAGCAGTTCCAATGTGGTGCTGAATAAGGTCAGTTTGGGACAGGAGTTACATGAAATATGCAGTGTCTGGCCTCCCTGGGCTCCCCACTTCCCAATGCGTTTAGCGGATGCCCCAACACATTGATCTCTGCTTGTGCCTGAAATCCCATCCTGGGCCAAATGCAAGAGGCTGGCAGAGGACGTGCTGGGCAACGCTCCTGAGGGCTGTTTTACAGTGCAGCACCTCCTTAGTGAATCCTACTTGATTGCTGCCCCATAGGAAAAGAGTGGAAAGACTTACTGCTAAGGTGATGTGAAGACACACAACTTGGCAAATTCACTAGCTGTCGTGTGTTGATAAGTCTGGAGATGGACACAATCAAGTCCTTTGAATACATGTCCCTTTACTGTAATGAATCAGGGTCACTTTCGTGTTTTCAGATAGAGTACTCAAAACTCATGCTTCTGGGGCTGACCCATGAAAAAGAAAGTTCAACAAAAAAATGAGACACATTTTCTCTTCAAACTTAAGAGAGATGTGTGCATAAGTACAATTCTTCCTTGACAACATCCCAGATTGGAACTAGCCCTGCTCAGATGTAGCCCATAGGCAGCTCAGCCTCCATGTGGGTTTCCCTAGTAAGGGGAGCAGAGGCTGTCTCTGACATGGATTCTGTTGCCTGCTCTTTGTTCACTTCTCCCTGGTGAGGTGGCCATTGCCAGGCCACAGGGGAAGAGTATGCAGGCAGTCCTGATGAGACTTGATGGGCTGGGGTCAGTTGGTAGGGGAGGAGGGCTTCTCCTTTCTGTGGACTAGGGGAGGGGGATGGGGGAAAAGGGAAGGAGAGTGGGGCAGGGAGGAGGTGAGGGATAGAGATGTAAAGTTAATAAATTATAAAAAATAAAAATTTAAAAAATCCAGGATTAACTTTATAAACAATTTAGTTTTTCTTATTTATTGAAAATATTTAAATTTAATCAGGAGAAGAATTCTACTTCAGAAGATTTTACTGAAACAAAGCAAGCTAATCAAAGGATGATTCTCTGCTTGTGATATCTATTAATCATGGCTAGCACATGAGCACTTAATTTTTTCACCCTCAGTTTGAGCATGCTGTCCCAAGAAGGCACTCAGAAAAATTTTTTAACTGATACTTGTTTGAGGGGACATAGAAGTTATGCAAACTGCAAAGAACCTAACAGAATGCTATGTGAAAAACAAACAGGGAGTCAAATACCAAAAGAGGTGGAGGAATAATAAGTATATAATGGTTATTACATTTGTACATTGATTCTTAATTTTGGGCTCAACTGACCAAAGGGAGATGGAGTTGGTCAGTAGAGTGTACGTGCTTATTCTGAATGACTACCGAGGTTCTGCTGAGTTATAGTTCCAAATCTCTTACCTAGATTTATGCTGCTAAGCCTAGTCAGAGGTTAGCAATGTTGCTAAATGACGGAAGCAATTTAAACTTAAAATATGCACTGTCTATATGATCTTTAGGTGATGATTATTTTTGTTAGGAAGTATATTAGCTAGACAAATCATAATTATAATATAGTTTGGAAAATACATCTTTAGAATAAGAAGCAGCATTTGTGAGCCAAAACCATATTAAATACTAATTTGAAGTTTTGGTTCCCGTTGGCAGGGTGTACTTGAATGTGTGAAGTAGCAGAGATCAAAATCATTTCTGACTAATACATGCACAGCCATTACTGAATTTACGTTTTAAACACAATGTTAAACTCTTAAGTTTGTAAACTTCCTAAAACTTTAACATGGCACAAAGTTAAGGACATTCCTCCTGAAGGGCTAGAATCACCTGAGCAGACCTCCTCTCTCTCTCTCTGAGCAGATGTGCACTTCCACGGTGGGTTACTGGGGAGGGGGCAGAATAGAAAGATCTTGTGATCTGTGTCTAGATAGCTGTGTTTTCACTTTGAGTTAGCAACACCCACCGAAAAGCCCCGTTCCTAGGGTGTCACAGCAAAGCGCATGCAGGGAAGCCAGAGAAGGCAGTTATGGGGTGTCTGGAAAATGCTAACCCTTGCCAGGGGTTTGGCAAACACCAAGTTTTTGGCTGGTGTGAATGTCAAATACAGGCCTGTGGGGTACTGTTCTGTATATATTTTTTCTTTTTGAAACAGTCTTTTAAAAAGACCTTTTATGCTGATGATTAGCCTAGACATGTGAGTGTATCCAGGATGGGGAAGATTTCATTTGTAACTTCAGAAAGAGACATTGTAAAGGGCTCGCTACTTGCACACGATGCTCCTTTCTCCAGTGCTCACGGCTTTCAGTCTTCTGGGCGCTAACAGGAATACTAACCAACTCTGCAGAAGGGTCCTTCCCAGCCGGGGCTGCAGCAGCACCTGCCCGTGGGGGTGCAGTAGCCATTTCGACAGAGCCGCGAGCAGTCCGAGGTCAGGGTCTGTGCGGGCTGGACCGGGACTCTGCATTCCTCAGGCACCAAAGGTCTGCACCCCAAAACAAGAGTTGACATCGCACCTCAGTTGAAATCAGCATGGGGTAGAATTTAGTGGTCTGACAGCTTACAAAAAACGACTGCTGCTTTCAAGAGACCTTTCTCAAATGACACAGTCAACGCGCAACTCCAGAAGAACAGAGATACACTGGCGAAGTGTAATAGCCTACGAAGCTTTATCACTGTCAAAATTCTCCATTAAAAAGTACCAAAACGATATGACTTTTTGTATTTGCTAACTAGAATGTCTAGAAACTGTAATTTTAAATATTTTAAAGTTTTATATGGTATGTGTGAGTGCCTACACGTGTGTTTATGTGTACGTGTGCATGCATCTGTGTGTGAACGCATTCATATGTATGTATGTGTGTGCTCAAGTGAATACGTTCTTGCTTGCATGTGTGCATGCGTGTCTGTGTGTGAATGCATGCATGTGTGTGCCATGGTTTCTTTGTGTGGATCAGAGGTCGGCCCCGTGGAGTCAGTTTTCTCCTTTCACCTTTCCATGGTTTCTGGGATGGAGGCCAGGCTTAGGCTTGTTCAGCAAGTGCTTTTACTTACTGAACCTCACACTGTAATTTAAAAATAGAAGAGCGCAGTCCAGAGCCATAAACACGTAGGGGTGGTATCCAGGAGTTTCTCTTGTTTGGAGCCTCACAGGCAACATCACAGGACTGGTGCTATCTGTCACAATGGACACTTGCTGTCCAACAAGCATGCGAAGGCAATAAGAACAGTGAGCAAATTTAGGGACCTGGCCCCAGACCATTTCCACAATGATCCAAAATAAGGTAAAGTCCTACTTATGCTGAAAATGCTGTGGTTTGCAAGCGATGTTGCAATTCTGAAGGCTTAAACCTTAAACCTGCTCAACTGCTATTTGGTCCATTTAAATGGACCACAAAGAGATATGGTCCATTTCCATTCAGACAACATCAACTATATTTTCCACATGTTTCCCAAGGAAGTCTTGCTGGTATGTATATATATGTACACGCACACACATCATACATGAGACAGGGTTTCACCGTATAGCCCTGGAACTCACCACTGCGAGTACTGAGCTGGCCTCAAAGCCACAGATACATGCCTCCCTTTCCCTAGTTCTGGGATTAAAGGCGTGTACCAGTACACCTGACCAAACTGATATACTTTTATGTCTTAAAAATAAAGCTTTTTATTGTCTTAACAATTCTTACTTATGGTATAGTTGAATTTATTTTTAAGTTATGTGTTTGGATGTTAACTATAATACTAGAAATATACCAAAGGCTAAAATGTCCAGGTCTGTGTGTCCTAAAGACAGAGGATTGTTTCTTCATCTAGAGAAGAGGTGAAGTCAATGTATTTAAATTCATTTTTCCCAAGAGCATGTCCAATAAAGTATGTATGACAAAGATCTCTGGCAGAGCCATCTGTTCCTCTCTGCATGATGTTTGCTGTGAAGAGCCAAGTGTCCCCTTGGCTGTTTGCTATGCATACAGGTTTGCACGGACTGAAGAGGAGAGAGGCGAGGCGGAGCGCTTCGCACTTTGTCACCACTGGCCCACTGCATTGAGACAGACCGTCTTAAGAATCCTTAAACACTGTCTAGCCATACCTGGGCAACAGCGAAGCAAAAATCCAGAGTGCACATTCATCATAGTAGTTTTAATACGTGTTTCCATTGTACTAGAAAACTGTGTTTAGTGTATAATCCAATTAGAATCATTTGAATAGTTTTGTTCTTTTAAATAATCACTTTTTTTTTTTCAAGCCCCTGGATGCTGAGCTGTATTGAATGGAGTCAGAAGTAACTTTCAAAATAAAAAACATAGCCAACAGGGTGTTTGAGTTTGCAATAAAGAATATATTGTGCTTATGTGTTGACAGCTATCCCCACAGCCCTTAAGCTTAATTTGAACCAAAAAAGCATATTTCCTCATCTCCTCACATGACAAATTATGAAACACTAAGGGGCTATCACAGAAAATTGCTTTAGTATATAAAGTATTGTTTCCAGAAAGTTAAGACACTTTCTTAGAAACCCAGTTTGGCTGTTTTGTGAAGTGGTGCAAAGGTCTGGCTACTTTGAAATGAAGAGAGACAGTGGGAAGCATGGGTTATTTATAATACACATTGTCTGGCTGACTTTCTGTGAATAGAAACGGGCAGCACTGGCTGTCTTGGGATAGTGGGATTCTGGGTGGTTTTAATTTAAAGCATTTACTTTAATGAATGAACAAATAAATTAATAGATGAGACATCTTCTGGCAGCTTGTGTTGAAACGCTGTGATGAATCCTGTCCTGAATGAGTACTGTTGACATCTGCTTATTATGTGTTTCACAGAAGGTTCATTCTGAATTTTTTCTGAGGTATACACATTTCAACTTCATTCCATCATAAAACAAGAGATACAGATCTTAAGGACTACTTATTTATAAAATCTTGACTCATTGGAGGTTTTATCAGATGGGATAATTCTACGGCTTCTCTTGGTGGCTTCTTGAAGGATGAGGGTGACATAACCTTCTCACTTCTTTGCCCACAGTCACTTTGGAGCTCATGGAAAAGTGTCTCCTTGTTATCATCATATTTACAAGACTGTTCCTCCTCCATCCTTTTTGTCCATTCTCATAAGTTAAAAGAAACCAATTGTCTAAACCTTTGTTAACCCGCAGCCTAGTTTCAGATGAATGGCATCTCCGTTCTCAGTTGGAGGCCCTTTCCTAACCAGTAGCAACTAATGGTCATTACTTAGTGTGTTCTGGTCCAGAATGCCTTGCAGCCTTGTAATTGTCACAGCAGCTGATCATCTATTGAATTCCTCAATCATGTGATATCCTGTGATCAACCTTTGTCACATCTTGTTTCTAAAGTCAGTCTCAACTCTTTTCCTTCAGCCGGGGTGGGGGAAGGGACGCGTCTTATGATGGGTAGATCGGAGTATGGTCCATTTGTGGAAGTCAAGGCAGAGAAATGATCCCTGAGTGCTGTGTTATCTTGCAAAAATTTTATTTTAGTGTCATTCCCCAAGGTCAGTACACAGATAAAATAAACTACATTTCTTCCTTATACTTGTCTTTAGTCTGGTTGGTCAGTGCAATGTTTTTGCTTTACAGGGTACTCATGAGGCTAGAATTCAAGAGTGCAAGGGCTTGGCAATGTTGTGTGGTACAGTTGGGCTTACTCATTTAGAGTGTGATCATATTCCAGTTTGAAGAGAAACATGGCCTCTCTTCCTATGTAGCCATGAAAGAGCCATCTCCCTGGGATGTGGTGTCAGCGTGGAAAAGAAGAGGCAGACTTTTTCAACAGTGCTCTCCTCTTTGAAGCATAACAAGATATTGAATGCTTTTGGAGGTACTGAGTCTATTCCATTTTCCCGCTGGTAATTCCTGAGTGACTGACATGTGCCCCGAGGTAAAAGGAGACTTCCATTCAAGAATAACTGATTTTGTACAGTTTATAATCTATACTACCCCATTGCCAGTTTTTATTTGTACTGTGTTTCCTAAAGCTATAATTTAGGATAGATAGTGTCAGTGTTCTGTGTTATCACTAAACAATGCCTAGAGACTTCTATTCTGAAACATGTTAAACAAAATGGGTCTAGGCAGTCTTCTCTTTCTGTGCTCCTTCTGTGGGGTTCTGATACCTAGAGCTTCCTTCTCCCTCACGAGGTGGACTTGCCTGCTCTCCTGACACACTCACTGGAGGCTGAGTGGCTCTAACCCCTCTTAATGTGATGGTCCAGGCAGCACCCCAAGCCATGAATGTCTACAAGGGTGTGTGACTCTCTCACACTAAGATTTATCAACTCAAATCACCCTCTCTATTTCCATGGCGAAATCAGCAGGTAAAAATTATAAAATTTCTTAATCTAGGCAAAGTGGTTAAAAACGGAATGATAATGTGATCTGGTTCTAGATGAAAAGACAAGACTATCCGACACCTCAGATATTTGATACATTTGCAGCCTCTTGACTGCTCAACTATAATTATTAGAGCTGAATGTGAAAAAAAAAACATTAATTCAAAGTTTCATATGCTTGAAAAAAAATCTGTCTCCAAGGTGTTTTGTTGTTGTTGTGTTGTTGATTACTGCTTCAGCCCAACAGAATCTCCCTGTCTTCACCACAGTGTAATATTACAACAAATCATCTAGGAGGTTTAAGTGACAGTCACAGATTTATCATAGGGCTGAAGGTTGGGAGATAGTTTTGGCAATTCAAGCAACAGCCCTAGGGCAGACTAGAAATACACAAAGTCAAAATGTGATGGGAATGAAACTCTGAACTCAGGAGGAAGGGCAGGCCAAACAGCTCAGCCGAGGTCTCCATACATGAGCGAAACCCAGACTTAATTTTCATTTGCTCATTAAGATGACCTGATATAATAAAATAAAAATGTAATACAAATGAAAATATAATAAACATGTAAGACATTCAGAAGATTTAATTCTATCAGATTCTAGTACTGAGCCAGAGGGGGCTGGTAGGTGAAGAGAAGATACATGAACTTTAAAAATGCCTTTAAGAACCTTGGGCTCAGAATAAAATAAATCTAATTTTAAAGGATAAATTTTCATTATTTATATTTTTCATTTTATATATATCTAAATAAATGGCATTTGTAAGTGGCAATTCAATCAAAATTTCATGGCAGCCTATAATAGTCATCATAGGAGTCAATGGTCTAGCATTCAGAATTGATAGATTAAGAAAGACTATCATTGAATAAAATGGAAAATTCACTTGAACATTGTGGGTCTATGTCACAACTATAAGAAAGAGGAAATACATGTAAAATATTTACATGTGTTCTCCCTATAAAAATTCAGTATGTGGACTAATGTATATATTAACTTGCTTGACTTAATAATTTCACATAATTATCCAAAATTATATAATCCCTATACTACAATCCACAGACCTAAAGAAGCTAAATAACAAGGAGGACCCTAGGAATGATTAATTATCATTCAGAAGGGCAAATAGAATAGATACTG